GAATTCCCCAGCCAGACATGTCTGGCTGGGGAATTCTGGGAGTTGAACTCCACACAGCTTAAAGTGGCCAAGGTTGAGAAACTTTGCTCTACCTGAACCCACACAGACCATTCACAATTTCTCTGCTCATTGTTGCATGTTATGCTCAAGCAGATGACCCACACGCTATGGCTTGTTTCGCAGTGACAAGACAATGGCTGGGTTCCTTACAACTGCTGAACTACAAATTACTCAACCTCTTTGTTGGGTTGTGCAAACTCCTGCATGGTTCTCTCCTTTTTCTCTCTGTTTAATTTCCCCCCTTCCTTTGAACATGGAAAGAATAAATCATGAGAACTTCAGGATGATATCGAGTGACCCTGAAATGTAGGTCCTCTGTCTAATAGAAAGAATGTCTTCAGAAAAATAAGACTCATCGCTTTCACTAGAGATGTGCCCTTGCTAAGCATTTTATAGGATTTCTGCTTTGAATTCAAAAGACTGACCTTTATTTATTTATTTACTGAAAATGGTCAACTGTCCAGTTGCCAAAGCTCTCTGGACAGTTTACAATAACAATAAGCTAGGAACAATATACTTAAATGTAGATTAAGGTTCAGAAATCAAGAGTAGGAGAGAGGCAATCTAGATAGAGAAGAAAGAAGCAGTTCAAGTGTCATGAATGATTAAGGGCCAGCATAACTCAGGTGTTGACATTGTTTTCCAGAAATGGAAAGAAAATGAATGAGGACAAAGCTTCACTCCTTGAATGAATGAAGAAACAAAGAAAGAGAGGCTTGTTAAATGCAGCAAGGCCAAGAAGCCAAAAAACCAGTAAGCATTAAAGTACACAGAATAAGCAAAAAAGGTCTAGATTAGTTTTTTAAAACGCGATTGTTCATAAGGTATATGATATTATTGAAGTAGGTAAGAACATGTAAAATTGTTTGCCTGTTTAGTCAGAAGCAAGTCTCTCACCAGGACAAAAAGCACTAGGGCAGTGTTTCTCAACCATGGCAACCTGAAGATGTGTGGACTTCAGCTCCCAGAATTCCCCAGCCAGCAAGGTTGAGAAACACTGCAGGAGAGTCTTTGCATATTTGTGTAGCTATGTTTTCTTTACAAACGTGCGTATGTAGGCAGACAACTTTTCTTCTAGCGAGGGGTCCAACCACTCCTCACATTCCAAGTGATGCAGACCAATATGGTTTGGGCTGTTCATCTTTCTCTCCCCTTCAGGGGCATCCACAGGGACAATCAAAAAAGTCAATATGGCAAAACTGCATGATTGTAGCCCCATCCTTTTACAATCTTGTGGATACCATCTTGACTTTTCTGACCCCTTTGTGGATGTTTCTGTCTGTGTCCCCAAGCTACTTCTTTTGTTCTTTAATGACAGTTCATACCTTAAATCATTGTCTCCTCTTAAGTGTAGGCATGTGTCATAATCCCTAATCTTTGCTGGTTCTTTCATCCCAGAAGTTGCCTTGAAACCATCTTGTTTCCATGAATGAATATCCACAGGCCGGCCTGGTTCACTAACAAAAGTTTCTCCTCAAATCCAAGTCTCAGTTCAAGCATTAGTATAAGTCAGGAGGGAGCAGACTGTTTCAGTTGGGTGGAAACACAATGCCCTCATGGAACCCTTTAGGACCTTCACAGGAAGGTGGAGATGATGGGTGGGGCTACAACATTCATACACAGAGACTGTGTCCATACAACTCATGTCACTAGGACCAGGTAAAGCTTAGCAGAAGCACTAAGCTTGGTTAGTCTTAGTCAAAGTGTGGGGTTTTGTGGCGTCACCTGTTGCATAAATCTAGTGTATTTTGGTTAGTTGTAATTCACTATACTGTGCAGATATAGAAAATGGGTCGTTCACTAATCAGGTTAAACGTGTTCCATGAAGACAGGCACACAGAAGTGTACCTGCAATTCATGGGAAACTGTCCACTCATGTAGCACAGCAATTCTCTCTTTTCTGGAACAGAATACCACTTGGGTGGCAAGCCAGCACTGACATTTAGCTGTCAAACATCCAGAATAATTCCCTTTTGGCAACTTGTTCCTTTACCCACCTTAATGTATTTATATGGAGGTTACTTTTCACAAACTGGATGTTGGAGAACCTTCTTTGTACTGAGCAAAACTGAACAATAAATGTGCTATTCTTGCAAGAACCTGAAGAGGGTAGACTTGTGTTGGGCATGGTCACAGTGGAAAATGTTTGATTTCATAAGCCCTTCACTTCTGTGTTTACTCATCTCAAAGAAATATCCTCTGTTATTAACGCTCCAAAGAAAATGTTGTGATGTGTGTATCTGCAGTATGTCTCAAAGGACTTGTTAATGAATGGCTAATCCAACAAAGTGGTATTGATTAAGTTGGAAAAGTGGGCTGATTGGGCTTCCTAAACCATCATCACCAAGTAGAAATTAGAATGGGAAATCTAGCCATGATCTTTATGTTAACTGCCATGAGGCAGTATTTGAGGGGGAAGAGTGTCTGAGTCACAATCTGGATTAATCTGAAGATGGCCATATAACAAGGCCCAGATATGGATGTGGACTTCTACCTCTCACCAATCTACATCATAAGACTGAATGAAGCTTTGATCCAGAGATTTGATTCAATGGAGATTTTATGGAGTCTCTGAATTGAAATAACTTTTCTACTTGGACTGATGATTCAGATCCAATTGAGTCTGGTGTTTTGAAAAAAGAACTCGGTCCTCCAGAAGGGCTGATTTGGAGCTGATTGGCATAATCTTTCCACTTACCACATTTGCAATTATTCTGCTTTCAGGTACCAGGTTTTCCACAGATGGGACATTTCTTTTGAGGAAAGCCAGTAGAGAAGGAA